TATTTTGATACAAAATATTTGCAAATCAATATTTGGTAGGGGTCAAATACCAAAAATATATCAGGAACTCAAACTATTCGATAGCAAACAAGAATAAAAGCAAGTAACACTTTTAAAAACAGGCAAAGGGCCTGAATAGTCATTTCTCAAAAGAAGGCATACAAATGGCAACTGGGTAGATTACAACAAAACAAAACCCAACAATTCAACACCATCAATCACCAGGGAAACACAAATTAAAATCACAATGATGCATCACCTTAGATGTGAGAAGGGCAGGATAAGAGGAAAGGAGAAAATGCAGGTGAGGGTGTGGAGCAGAGGTAGCAGGCCTGTAGGGACTGTGAGTTAGTGCAGCCATTCCGGAAAACAGTCTGAAGGCTCCTCAAATAACGAAAAACAACTATCTCAGGGTCTGTCAAGTCCACTTCTGGTTACATATCACAAGGAGTTGAAATTCTGTGCTGCATTCGCCACGTGAAAGCAACCAGAGAGCCCATAAATGGATGATGAAAACGTGTCCTGTGGGGTATTATTCAGCCTTAAGAGAAGAGAGCCCCGCCATTTGTGGTAACATGAACAAATCTGTAAGACTTTATGCTAAGTGAGATAAATCAGGGAGAGACAGATACATGCCGTGAGATTTCACGGTGCGTCTGGACTATTGAAATCATGGCAGTGAGAGGAGAACAGAACTTGACTAGGTTGGAGTGGGAGGGTTTTGAAGGGCAGGCTTCCTTCTCTTGGAAGGAAGATAAGTTCCTGGGGCTTAATGGTCAGCATGGTACCCATAGTTAAAGTATTGCATATTTCAAATTTGCCGAAAGACTGGATTTTACGTGTTCTTATCACAAAGGACAATAAGAACGTGAGAGATACATGTGCTAATCTGATGTGGTTATTCCAGTGTGTACGTGTATCACAACAAAACACAGTACCCCATAAGTAGGTACACTTATTGTCAATGCAAATTAAAGTGAGTTAAGATTAAAGCAAACTATATTTGAGGGGTCATTTTAAGAAGATAAATAGAAGAAAACAGATAGCGTGACTGTAATTTAAGCATATATACTTTACGAAGAACTTGCACCAGAATATAGAAAGCACTTTTATTACTGAATACAAAATAAACAGTTAAAAATAAAAAAAAAAATGACGTTGACATGTGTTGTAGTGGTCAAGGTGCTGAACTCCCACATGTCCAACCATGGTTTGAGTCCTAGACCTGGTGTCTTGCTTTCTCACTTTTTTTCTCTCTCTCAAATGAAAACAGGAGAAAAAGAAAGAAAAGAAAAGAAAAAGAAAAAGCTAGTGAAAATTTACAAGATACATGTCATCACAGAAGACTCAAACATGAACACAGGCCCATGGAAAGAGGCTTGGCCTTGTAAAAACAGAATCCACATGACCCAACAATACCTTTTCTAGAGTTATGCCCTAAAAAACTGAAAAGTGGGTATTTATGCACACTCTCGCAGAGACGTTCACAGCAACATGACTCGTACTCCAGAAGATCCTGCCAGCTGATGGATGAACCAACGCAGACTGCCCACACAATCACATATTATTTTTCCCACATTGAATATCAGAAACAATAATGATTTATGCTGTGATGTAAAAAAACATTGAGCACATTATGATAAGGGAGAAATATCATAGACAAAAAGTCCCCTGCATGAGAGTCTGTGGCAGGAAGTGTCCAGGACAGGCAGCGATGGCGTCAGGGCGGGCTGTGGCTGCATAATGGGCCCGATTTCCTCTTGGTGGGAGGGGATCGTTTTGGAGCTGGACAGAGGGTAGGAGGCAACAGGGTGCCTGTGCTCAGTGCCGCAGTTTATCACCTGAGGGGCATGCTCTGCAAATTGTCCCTTAACAGAACTTGAGCTTTGAAAAGACCCACAGAAACCCCAAACTCAGGATCTGCAGACCATGCCCCCGAGGAATGAAATGGTGTGAGCAGACTATGCTCAGGCCCAGGGCTGCCCATGCCAAGGACGGCTGTGGTTGTCACCAACACCAGAACCTCTTCCTGGTGGGTTACCAGGGAGGGCCCTAGTAGGGACTTGCTCCATATTGGCAGCATTTGTGCGTCTGTGTTTACTCAGCCTGAAAAAGTAACACACACCCAGAGGAAGTAAATAAAAGTATGTGAATAAATAAAGCAGGGGAACGCCAGCATCTGTACAGGAATGACCCTTGGGCTCCCCCTCATCCATCTCCAGTCCTGGTCCGTCGAGTCCAGCAGAGATGCTTTCTAAGATGAATAATTCAAGACTTTCTGGATGCTGCCAGCAAACTGGCCATTGCTTACAGATGCCAACTCACGCCCGTTATGGGAACTATATCCTGTGGGGCCATCAGGGCCTTAAGTCGAAATAAAATAGCAACAGCGACACTGGAGCAGTTCTGAGAGTTCCCCAGAGTGCTGCAGTTTGGTTCTATTGTGACACTTGTCCAGCCCCAAGTCACGGAATGGCATCTCAGAACCCATCACCTTGTCCCTGGAGGTGGACGGGCCTGGCACCTGGCTGTGTGGACCTGAGCACCCAGTGGGGCAGCATCGGTCCAGGGTGAGGGATGCCGGCTTCAGGGGCCCTACGTGCTCTCTGACCACCAGGGCTGCCCCAAGGCAGGTGCAGGACAGGGGAGGCTTCCTCTCCTGCCCAATGTCGGACCATCTGCCAAGGATGTGAAGTCCTCACTGCCTTTCTGGACAGACGCTGTATTCTCTGCTCAGACGTGCAAGGCAGACTCCACAGCCTGACCGAGAACAGGGCTGGAGGGAACTCCAGGGTGCCAGCTCTCAGCACACCCGTCACAATGACCCCGTGTCCTCTCACTGTGGCTGTGACACTGACCCTGCGTGGTCTCAGGGTCTGGATGGCACGATCGCTCCTTCACCTGATCTGTGCTCCTGCTGCAGCTATTCCACGACCTCCTGCGCAGGAGTCCCTCTTTACACCCTTCCCACCAGCTCTGCCCATCCTTCCTCATGTCCAGCCCAGGGCAGGAAGACCAGCAGCCCTTTTGTAATATGCAAACATGGTGAAGAGGCTAAGACTAACAAGTCAACATTATTTCGAATGATTCATAAACTTAAAACCATTATATCACTTAATCTAATTCTTAAAAGGTCAAATTGCAGAGTGGGACATTGACATGCAAAAGTCAGTCATATTTCTGTATACTCAGAATATCAAGGATAAGAGCTTGAAGACACCTTCATGGCTCCTGAGAACTAGTAATTTCAGGGGAATCAGAGAAATGAGGATTTTCCAATGATAATTCAGCCTCCAGCCCACAAACTTCCATGGTAGGAAGACTTTCAAGCCTCCTGTTTCTGTCTCTGTCTCTCTCTATTTCTGTCTCTGTCTTCTCATTTTGTGGTAATTTTCCCTTTTAAAAATTTTTTAAGGCAAAGCATTTCCTGGGCTTTCAGCCTCTTCTTTCCCTTTATCTTGTTAATCCCCTCTCTCCCTCCCAACCCAGGAGAGGCAAGGAAATAGGTCTTCTTGAAGACACCTTCATGGCTCCTGAGAACTAGTTTTCTAATTTTTGCTTTTTAAAAAAAATAATTTTTTTTTAGTTTTTTTTCTTATTTTTTTCCTTCTTTTTTTCTCTGTTTCTTGGTTGTTTTTGTTGCTGTTGTTTCTCTCTCTTTGTTTCCTTTTCTGCACACTCCTCAATGCTCAGATTGAACTTCAAGTTTGGGAAGAAACACACCATCCATCAAATGACTAGAAATCACTGCAGTGCCACAGGAAATATGGGAATGGAGGAAAATACCTCTCCTCCAAGGGAAAAGAATAACTCCTCTTCATCCATAGACAGTTCAATGGAAATCATGGAAATATCTG